TTCTACATTACTAAAATGCCCTTTTTTAATTTTTGATAACTTTAAAAAAATAATAACTGCTTCTTTTATCAGCTGAAACAACTTTTCTGAGCAGAGGCAACATTTCCTGCAGAACTTTAGAGGAAAGTCACCAGACTGTTTTGTAATTAGGTTTTCCACTCAAAGAGAAGTCATCTGAGAGTCTTTTTTTTTTTTTCTTTTTTTTTTTTTTTACAGTTGTCATGTGCTGGGAAGCTTTTTTTTGGTTTTGTCACGTTATCAGATCAGATGCAACAGAAAAATCAGAAGCAGAGGATCTACATGGAGTTATTCCAAGTCAGGGTTCGATTGTCCGACAGCATTTTGAACTTTGAGCAAAACTGGGAACAAGATAACTCTAAGTGTATCTCTTTAAATCAATTCTGCTCAGACTTCTTGTTGTCAATTCGCTGCATAAAAAAAAAAAAGTTACTCAATCAAAACATTTATCTGGTTTCATAAAGGAAGAAAAAAACACAAGAAACATTTGTAATTTTCAGAAATATATTCTATAGATGATGTCAGAGATGAAATGTCTAAAGCGTAGGTCCCAAAGAAACAGAACGTTTTTCATCAATAGAGACAAACAAACAAAAAATAACTTTTTTTCTCATCAATGTACATGTAAACCAAGATTTGCTCTTGAGCCACAGTGGTTTATATATATATATATATACACATATACACATATATATATATGCAAATATATATAGAACTGGCCGAGGTGGGTGTGACAATCAAATGGCGATGCCCTTTGTTTTCCCAAACTGCCTTCCGGACAACATCCGTCATTTGCAAAAAAAATAAAAAATAAAAAAAACCCCTTTGAAACGAGAGCGTTCTTTGGGAGTCTCTTCTTGGAGTTGTGAATGTTTGCAGAGGTTTTGGCAGAGCACGTCTCTCTAAAACGCAGTCCGTAAGTGCTGAATCGTGTTGAAAAATATCAAATGCTTCTCAGCGTCAAAGTCTTTTAGTAAATCGTTCGGCCGGCGGCGGAGGCTGGAGAAAAGCCTCCCCCGCGCCCGGGAGGTTTCGTCTTAAAAGTCCCTCCAGTGTTCTTCTGTTGTGCAAATACAATTTTCTTTTTTTTTTTTTTCTTCTTTTTTTTCCCATTACATAGACAAGCAGGCATGCTGACTCAAACCATGCAAAAGAGTTAAAGTTGGTGCGAGCAGACAGCAAAAAACAACAACAAAAAACAAAAACCTTACTTAGGTTTCTACAAAAAAA